TCTGCTGCTTCAGGTGTGAACATAGCATAAATGAAACTGTGCATCAACCAAGTCTATACTGGAAAAACAATCTAGAAATAAGTAAAAATGTCTTAAAGTAAGTCTATTTACCTTTAATTTGAGTCGGTAAATAGGATAGTTTGCCAATGGAACAAGTATTTTTACTCTTAAAATAAGATAATTAGGTAATCTGCACTTGAAATAAGACAATGCAATGTATTTTCTTATTTTAAATGTATGTTGTCTTGTTCTATTGGCAAAATGTCTCTTTTACCTCCCCAATCCAAGAACAAATGCACTTATTTCAAGAAAAACTGATTTATCTAGATTTCAATTTTTTTCCATAACCTTTAAAACGAACCATCCTGTAGGTCATTTTTCACATTAGTAGACAGTTAAGCGCTTGATTTGTTTTCTATTCAGTCGTTTTTGTGTCTGTGAAGCTGATCCAAGCTGCATATCTGGTCTCTGTTGCTGCTTTTCTCTCCATCTCTGGATTGGATTCAACGTTTGCATTTATGGATTGATTCTGTGCAACCGTGGTTCTTATTGCAGGAGGTTTGTGAGTTTTTCACAGCTGTATGGAATTAAAAAAATGTTTTTGTTAGTTGAGCTGCAAAACTGGAGGAATATGTGTGTGTGTGGCTACATTACCCATGGCTAACTGGTTCAATATACACACTGGATTACATTAGCATAATTATATGTGTGTATACACAGTTTACAGTGTGTATACTCGTTAAGGCATACTGTATCCTTATAAGACATTAATACCATCAGTTCGTATATAATGCAAGGGAAAAAAAACCCAGTGTTTTTTCCATTCAGAAGAAGCTTTGTATCCAAAGCTTAAATCCAGCTCACCCCTCTGGTTCTTCATCATTTTATCCTCTTCATCCCCCTCTTTCATGTTTTTATTACAACCAGAGGTAACGGATTGGCCTGCATTCAGGAGCAGCTTTGATGATCACGTTTTTTTGTTTGCTCTGCTCTCCTTTTAACCTTGGTTTGTTTCAGTGGGAATTTCTGGAGTGTTTAAAACACAACATTCGTGTGGCGACTGCGACGATATACTGTAAATATCACAATTAAGTGTAAATCTGCTCTTAAAAAAGGTTGCAACAGAAGAAATGCGAATTATTTTTTCAAAAAAAGCATCATAAAGTGTGAACGTTTTTTTGTTTTCAGTGTCACTCAATTGAAAGTTTGCATTCTGGCTTCAATCAAGAAAGAATTTTGTCATGAAAATCCAGAAGTCCCCAGATACGCATAATAAAAACTACCGGTAAGCTTTTTTTTTTTTTACATGAGGTCAAATTTAACTATATCTGCTAATGTAAACTACACAACAAGCACATTTTAAACATGTTAATTCATGAACAACACAATTTATGAAAGGGATTTTTCTTTTTTGCATGTATATATTTTGTTTGCAGGAACCGTTTCACCCCTGATTATAACATCAGCTCCAACTTTCAAAGTGTAAATATGAGCCGGAAGTTTTACGGTTTGATTGCAGCAGCACTGATGAGCATCCAGTCCCAGAGCTGATCCCTCTGATGCTGCAGAAAGTGATGCTGGTAGAAATGCTGTTGGTTGGTAAACAGGAGGCAGCGCTTCTGGATGAAACATCATTGCATGCGCTATGCCCCATCCACTTTCCAGTTATGTTTTCTTAATGAAGGCTTTAAAGTCATAGGGAAGTCATATTTAAATGTCAAACATGTATATAATGTACTGTTTATCAGACTATATTGTCGCAAAAGTTAGAAAATTTCTATTAAAAAAAAAAATCCTGTCTTAAAATCTGTGTTTTTTTTTCATTATCTTCTGCAGGCCAGTTAGTTCTACGTCAGCCTGAACACCTAAATCATCCTCCACCGTGGATGTTGTTTTTCTTGACGCTTCTGCATTGCAAAACGCATAATAGTGACCTTTGTTGAGTATTTATGCCGTTCAGGCCAGAAGAATGTGACCTGGCCGTTCAGACACAGGTCGCATTTGAAGAGATCAGATTCGTATCGGATTCAGGACCACAGAGCCGAGTGTCCTGGGTCGGATTGGAACAGACTGCCGTTCAGACTGCCATGAAAAGATCAGATCAGAAGGAAGAGGATTAGGGCCACTGAAAAAAAAAACAGACTGATTTTTGAATTTTATTTGAGTATAATACAAGAAAATAGTCAGAATTATGACTTTAATCTCAATATTCTGACATTTCTCTCAGAATTCTGACTTTTTTCTCAGAATTCTGACTTTAATCTCAGAATTCCGACTTTAATCTCGGAATTCAGACTTTTTTCTCAGAATTCTGACTTTAAAGGCATACTATGCAACATTTTTCAGTTAATTAATGTGTTCCATAACATTTTGGATGATTAAATGAGTCATTTCAGGTTGAACAAAGGTATTCTCGGCCGCCCTGGTGGTCTGTGGGGGAAATACCGCACTTGCAATTGCAGGAGCACTGACCCGCACCCACAGGCTCAGAAGTCTCGCGAGAGTCAGTCTTGCTTTACGGCGAGAACTGCTACACACCCCCAGTTAAAAGCATGCTCGTT